GAAAAAGGGTAGCCAACTGAGAGCTGTAATGTTTATATAAAAAGTGGAATCTAGGTCAAATTACAAAGGATGAATATAAGCGAACAACACAGGTATGCAGGCACAAAATTAGAAAGGCAAAGACACAAAATGAGCTCAATATTTCTTGAGACATAAAGGGTAACAAGAAGACATTCTATAAATATATTAGAAGCAAGAGGAAGACCAAGGACAAGGTAGGCCCATTGCTCAGTGAAGAGGGAGAAATAACAGGAAACTTGGAAATGGCAGAGATGCTTAATGACTTCTTTGTTTCAGTCTTCATCAAGAAGTTTGATGATGAAGAGATGCATAACACAGTGAATGCTAGTGGAAAATGGGATAGATTTAGAAGAAAAATAAAAAAAGGACAAGTTAAAAAAGACTTAGAAAAGTCAGATGTGTTCAAATTACCAGGGCCTGATGAAATGCATCCTAGAATACTCAAAGAGATGATAGAGGAGGTATCTGTGCCTTTAGCTATCATTTTTGAAAAATCATGGAAGATAGGAGAGATTCCAGAAGACTGGAAAAGGACAAATATAGTGCCCCTCTATAAAAAAAAGAAATAAGAACAATCCAGGAAACTACAGACCAGTCATTTTAACTTCTGTGCCAGGAAAGATAATGGAGCAGGTAATTAAGGAATTCATCTGCAAACACCTGGAAGAAAATAAGGAGATAGGTAACAGCCAGAATGGATTTGTAAAGAACAAATTATGTCATACAACTCTGATAGCTTTCTTTGATAGGATAACAAGTCTTGTGGATAAGGGAGAAGTGGTGGATGTGGTATACCTAGACTTTAGTAAGGCATTTGACATGGTCTCGCTTGATCTTCTTATTAATAAACTAGGGAAATACAACCTAGATGGAGCTGCTATACGGTGTGTGTGTAACTGGATAGATAACCATTCTCAGAGAGTAGTTATTCATGGTTCATAATTATGCTGGAAGGGCATTACACATGGGGTTCTGCAGGGGTCTGTTTTGGAACCGGTTCTGTTCAATATCTTCCGCAACGATTTAGATGATGGCATAGAGAGTATGTTTATTGAGTTTGCAAATGATACCAAGCTGGTATGGGTTGCAAGTGCTTTGGAGAAATGATCTGGACAAACTGGAGAAATGGTCTTAGGGAAACAGGATGAGGTTTAATAAGGACAAATACAAAGTACTTCATTTAGGAAGGAATAATCTTTTTCACACATACAGAATGGGAAGTGACTGTCTAGGAAGGAGTACTGCACAAAGGTATCTAGGGGTCATACTGGACCACAAACTAAATATGGAACAGCGTGACAGTGTTGCAAAAACAGCACACATGATTCTGGGATGCATTAACAGGAGTGTTGTGAGCAAGACACAAGAAGTCATTCTTCTACTCTACTCTCTGCTGAATACTCAGTTGGAGTATTGTGTCCAGTTCAAGAAAGTTGTGGAGAAATTGGAGAAGGTCTAGAGAAGAGCAACAAAAAATGACTAAAGGTCTAGAAAACATGAGCTATAAAGGAAGGCTGAAGAAACTGGGCTTGTTTAGTTTGGAAAGAGAAGACTGAGAGGGGGCATGATTGTGGTTTTCAAGCATCCAAAAGGGTTTCACGGGGGGGGGGGGGGGGGAAGGGACAAAAGGAAT